ATCCAACAGATAGGGTTTGGTATCCTAAGTGTGGTATCCAACAGATAAGGTTTGGTATCCTAAGTGTGGTATACTATATTATCCTAAATCCGGAGAGCAAGAGGGTATCCTAATATAGGTATCCGGGCCTTGCTGACCTAAGAATTGTTGGCCCGAACCAACAGATAGGCAGATAGGGTTTGGCCCGAACCTTGCGCTCCCCTGACCTTCGGTGACCATTGAACGACCCCGAGTTGATTGAGTCGACCGGTGAAGCTTATTTTAGGGCTGGCCCAAACCTTTAGAAGGTAGGGACAGACCCCCCCAAATCTAGCCACCCCACTAGAACTGGATGACTGGATGACTGCAGGTGCTTTAACTACCTTCTGAGGATGTGGGACAGGAACCCTGCCATAGGGATTATAAGAAAGTGTTACCTCCGCTCTTCTTTTTCCCCTGACAAGACCATCCGAAAGGTCCAGTCAGAGAGGGTAGGTGCAGAAGACTTGTGACAGCGCTAGCAGTTCCAAGGAGTTCGGTGCTTATCAATGGAGGAATGACCGGGGTGCCCCTGTCACATCCGCTCCAGAGGGTTGCGTTTGGGTAGATCGTAGATAGACGTACCCAACTCCCCATTGCACCTAGACGCCACAGGAACATCACAGAGGATCCGGAGAATTCCTGCGTTGTGTTGCGGTGTTGTTCTTCCGTTTTTTAAGGACAAAGAGAGATGCTGCAGAAGCTTTTGGCCAAGAACTTCAAAGCCTGGGTGCCGCTCAGTTGAGAACAATCCAGCCTTTTTTTTTGCGTTTTCGGAGGGTTGAGCCAAAAACAGCTGTGAGCTCACCCAGCTCACCGACCGACCTTCTAAACTCTCAAACGATTATCCCCTAAACCCTCCTGGCCCACATCCGAAAAGGTTTGGTGCTTGGGGTGGGTGGATGCCAGGAGGGTCTAATCTAACTACCTTCAGATGTTGGCCAGAAGCCCCAAAAAGGGATCTATCAAGCGACCACACTCTGGTGGTTGGGGTGGGTTTGGAGGGTCTAACATGGTTTGTCCCTACCTTCTCAAGATGACAGCATTGGAAGCTTAACACGGGACCTGATGGCATGGAGCAGTGGACGATGTTTTTCCTTCCCACCCCAGTGGCTTTCAGGTTGCATGTGGGTCTCTTCCTGTGTGTTGCTTCTCAGCGTAAAGATTGCACAAAAGCCAAAGTGTGAAGCATTCTGCACTGTGAAGGCCCTTGTTGTGGATGCAAATGATGCCATGTGTCCACGCAATGCTTCACGTGCATCTCCAATTTTGAGAGACCAGACGATGCTGCCATGCTGCCACGTGGATTGCTTAAATGTCCCAGGGATGTCCGATGGATTTCACCGATGGATTTGCTCTTCCCACCAGTGTGGAGTCGTATGAGGTGAAACAAAGACAGAACACTAGAACAGAAGAAGTATGTAGCTAAAAGAACTATACGTGCATGAAAACAATCAATGCCAATACACATGATCAACGTCTATAAAAGGATCACGGTGTTCTGTTTCTTTTTCAAATCCGAGTCGTATCCATGCATGCTAGTATGCATGCTATAAGAAATGATATATTTATGATCAAGAGTCTATGCATGCCAAAAACATGAAGGGGTCAAGGGTCCCAAACCCCTAGGTTCTTTGAATGACCAGTCAGGCTGTTTGGAGCGTTTGGGTATACAAATGATCAACGTTTATACATGCTATGTAAAAAGAAATGATGAAATGAAGGATCAGTGGAAAAAAAAACACAAAACACAAAGACACAAAGAAAACCACCGCTTTTATGCATGGTTCTTTTTGATTTTTACAAATCCGAGTCGTCTTAGACGGTGGTTTCACTCGTCCTGGAGCGCAGTGGTTGGCAGGACTTAGATCTGGCCGAGCTCACCGCCGTGGCGCCTGTGGACGGCCGCTACAGGTGCCAAGTCGGTCGATAGAGAAGACCAGGGGGGTCTCCCAGGACCTCTCCTAGACCCAGGGGCTCTCCTAGACCCAGGTGGTCTCCTAGACCCAGGTGGTCTCCTAGACCCCGGAGGGTCTCCTAGTCTCCTTGACCCAGGAGGGTCTCCTAGTATCCTTGACCCAGGAGGGTCTCCTAGTCTCCCTGTTTTTGATCACCAACACGTCCGGGCCATCAGCTGACTAGTCCTCCCGCCCCAGACCCGGTGTGGCAGAGGCAGACTAGCAGGTCGGTCACAGGTTTCGCAGGTTTCGATGCCCAGAGAGTACATGAGACCACCAAAATTCACCCACCGAGTCAGCATGTCACCTGGCTGGAAGCCCCAGCCCACCACTAAGGGACCTCCAGCCAGGACACCCATTGGATGATCCTGGTAGATAACCTTTAGCTTTTAGATGCGCAGGTCTACATTGGTGACCTGGCAGTGAGAGTGCTGGTGTATGTCAATAGGGAGATGCCCTGGCTGAAATTGATCCACATTGATCTCAAAGAGGACTGGCCTCCCAACACATAGAGCCCACCAGCACCCGACTCAGAAGGTTTCCCCGATGTTAGGTGAGCTGTGAAGTCGGGTCCGGGAACATATTGATGGCATACCTTGGATCTCAACAAAAATGCCCAAGAAGTTCTACCGAACTTTCATCCATAAAAGCAGCCAGGTTCGGCAGACATAAGGTATATAGTCAATTCTGAGATCTTTGGGGATTGAACCGCTGTCACTTCCAAACCACACGGACACCACACCTGAAAAAACCATGGTTTTGACCTGCCAAGCGGTGCTTGGCGCCCAAAAACGCCAGGAAGAACACGAAAGGCTTGGCGGAGTATTTCTCAGAGTATGGGCTCATCCGATACCGCGTGCATGTGCTTTGGCAAGACGGTCACGGGCGGAGCAGAATCACGTGGCCGGCCACATGTACAGGCCAAGAAGTGATGGAGCTTTTCTGTCCAACTGGATGGTTGAAAGCCTCAGATCCGATGGAGAGTTTCTTTTCGGTTCTGGTAGTTTTTGTTGTTCAGTCATTTGAGGTCTTCTTTTCTGTGGCTCTTGTAGGCTGTAGGAACCTGTGAATACGACGCGTTCCGCTCGAGGGGTGCTGCACGTGTCCTTGTGTCAGCTTGGAACGCTCGAGAATTCGTGGTTTTCTGGGTGGCCCAACGGTCGAAGGTACCAGAACTATGAACAGTCCTGCCACTCGAGGAACGTGGAGGAAGAGAGATAGAAGATCGAATTCGTAGCGCTTGAAAGAACATACGGTACCAGCACCCTTACTGCCAGGTCACCAATTGAAACCTGGGCACGGGCCTTTCCCAACCCTCTTCCAGGAGACCTGGCAGGGAGGGTGCTGGTATATGTCTTTTGAGATGTTTGGGGAGGTATTTGGGGTATCCCAGACCATCCATGAGACTGGAAGATTTACCTACGACATCCTGCGACATGCCCTGACGCATCACGATGGTCATCACTCCGAGCGATCGGCTTCTGTCAGTCCCATG